CATATGTATATGTATATTGTTATAGGACTAATGCAAACAAATGTGAAATATTAAGAGATATCAGTGATAGGCATTATCATCTTTTTTGTAAAAAGAGAATCTGATGTTTACAAAAATTATTTTGATTACACAATATAAGTAATATTTTTAATGTCTAATATTAATTCAGCTTCAAAAATCTAGAATATTGAATATTTTTTATTTAATAATTTTTAGATACCTATTCACTATTCATGTAGAATATTAAATATTAGTCCAAGAAAATAGACCTTTAAATACGAAGTTTTGGTAAAAATTTTTGATATAAGTTGCTTTCAAAGGTCTAAAAACGAATTGTGAAACATTTTTTTAAAGTCACCCTCGAAAAGGGGCGAAATAAATAAATAAAATTATTTTTTTGAAATTTTGGAGATACGGTAAGAACTAGAAAAAGTTGTGGAATGTCAAATTTTACATAGAAATGATCTCTACACTTTTTTTGCTCAGATCAAAATTTACAGAAATTGGATGTCTAGAAGCCTTGTTTATGTATTCTCTAGAAGCTAGGACATGATAGTAAAAAAATTATAAGTTGCTGAAAAATTCATATACCTAGGTATTTAATATTTTTATTCACTTTTTTTTTATTATTTATTTATTTCACCCCTTCTCGGGGGTGAATTTAAAAAAAATATTTCACATACCGTTTTTAGATCTTTCAAAGTAACTTATTTCTTGGACAATATTAACGGTAAACCGCGAGGTAAATTTTCTCTTAATAAAAATCATAATCACAGGAAGCTGACATTATTAACGAGTTTTATACTGATTTTTTTATAATCTTTATATTATAATATTTACAATTTTAATACATTATACCTGTAGTACTTTTCCAGTTTGCTGTGTTGGAGATATACTTGAAACAGTTAATAATATCAATATATGTATGTATGTACTATGATTCTAATTAAACACACATCGATAACAAACCAATAGCGAGAAAAGAGGTCAGCAGTTTGATATCTCTATTTTCATCTTTTCGTTGTTCAAAGTGATTAAACCACATAGCATCATCATATATATATATATGTATATTCTAAGGATTAAACTTACAGGGAAAATAATATTTCTACATACCGGATGCGTCTCAAAAGTGGCTCGCCCCTATAACTTTTTTATTTTGTTCAGATAACAAAAATAGATTTGGTATATTAGTATATGACATAAATTAGGATTGACTGACGTATTCAATTCTTTTTGGCCGCTTCCTGTTTCACCGGAAATTACTACACCTTTTAATTTTTAAATGGCACTCTCGATATTTTTATACTTTATTCGATAGAAAATGACATTCTGAATAGAATCATATTATGTCAACTTTTGACATTTTCGCTCCAAACAAAATTATATTTTAAATTTCAATCTAGAGTGCAGTGGCTCTGTTAAAAACACTAATTTTTAATCAAGGAGCCTTGGAAAAATAGATTTGACCGTCTAATGTTTTAGTGGCTTATCCTGGCCGGTTAAAAGATGCCCAAATCGTATTTTTAATCATATTTCAGTTTTTCAAATGGAACGAGGGTGGCTCATTAGCATATTTGGAAAAGGCATTTTTCTACGAATAATTTGGTACCACACACTTGGTATTTCGAGTCAAATTGTGCAACAATGCAACAATAAACCATATTCGGAAATGTCAAAAGTTGACATATGATATGTCAATCTATTCAGAATGTCATTTTCTATCGAATAAAGCTTTGAATAAGAAGACTAAGGAAGGAGCATAATGCTATCCATGTATTCATGCATGGTGGGCTGAAAAAGGACTCTAGGGTGGGGATCCTTGACAGTTCTGTTTGACGATTCATTTGACACATTTGAATTTGATTTGAAATTTTGTGGATTTGTCAGTCTTTACGGAGCTTATTTTGTGTTATTTATTATTTATTCTACTACTGATAGTTGTATAAAGGTAGTAAATCTAGATGGAAATTGTGGCAGAACTTAAATTAACAGTGACACTATTGCGATTTTTCGAAAAAGACTCTAAAACAGTTGGTTGTATAGCGTGCGGTAGATCTTGGCAAAAATCGAGTGAAATAATGGAACAACTTTTCGCTAGTAAGTGAGTATATAATATACATACGTGTAGTAAACCGATCATTTATGAAATTCACTTAAATTAACTAATTATTTATATATTTTTTCTTGCATTTTTGCTTTTATTTACTACTTGTCAAAGATTTAGATACGTCAATTTTTATTATAATAATATGTTTTTATAACAATTTTAATAACTACCAACATTTATTCACAACGTAAAATAAAAAAAATATTGAGTCTACCCCACGTCTAGCCTACTTCATAGTTTTACATTTTTTAAATAAAATTAGAACGGCACTGACAAACCGGAATTTAAATCGGCCATATTTGAGTCCCATCGCGGTGGACCTAAGATTTTTGATATGCTCCTTCCTTAGTCTTCTTATTCAAAAGAATAAAGTAACAAAATACGGAGGGTACCATTTAAAAATGAAATGTTGTAGTCATTTCCGGTGAAATAGGAAGTGACCAAAAACAATTGAATACGTCAATCAATCCTAATTTATGTCATATACTAACATACCAAATCTGGATTTTTTATCTGAAAAAATAAATAAGTAATAGGGGTGAGCCACTTTTGAGACGCACCCGGTATATCTTTTTAAATTTTCTATTCCTAAGGTGTAGGATATGTGAGTTTTGAGAAATTTTGTTTTTTAATTATGCATCTAAAAGCCAAATGACATACGTATTATTTAAAAAAAGATATAGCTTTATAAATATGGCAATGTTGGCCACGCCTTAAAAATACCCTGTATAAGATAATGTGAGTTTACCTTTATGGATTTATTTTGTTATCATTGGTGTTTAGGAAAATATGTGTAGATAAATATTAATAACGTTAAATTCCCTCCATATTTTAACCACTTTTTTGGCAACACCGCGTAGTGCCTCAAAATAGTGTTCTATATGCAGGATTTTATGCTGAAACTCAATTTTATTCTGCATAGAAAAATGGGCGTTGCAATTTAAAAACTTATGTACAACTTTTTCATGATTTTTTTAGGACACTATATAAAAGAAAATATTTTTAGGATATCTACTTTTATAAACCATGCAACATTTATGTATATAAAAAAAATTTCATGTCTTTGTCGATAACAACGATATTGGACTTCTCCGCACTAATGGGCCAACCTGTATTTTTGAGAAGGAAATTTTTAATTTGGTCAATAACGAGATTTATAATAGTAATACCTGGTATGATCTCTGGTAGGACAACACTATTTTTTTATTATTAGTCGAGCTCCTTATACATATTATTGTTTTTCTACAGGACAGTTATGTTATTTTAATTTAAATGTTTTTTGGATATCTTCTGGTAAAGATTCCCTGAGTCGTGGGATATACTTAGTAATATCCTTGTAATATTCTATAAAATTTAAAATTACTAGAGATATTTGTTATAATAAATATTCAGTTAACAAGTGATTTATTTCTTCATCTCTTTAACGTAAAATTAGTTAATGATCTTCAAATTTATAATCTATACTTTTTTTTACCGGGTGCGTCTCAAAAGTGGCTCACCCATATAACTTTTATTTTTTCAGTTAAAAAAACGAAATTTGGTGTGTTAGTATATGACATAAATTAGGATTGATTGACGTATTCAGTTGTTTTCGGTCACTTCCTGTTTCACCGGAAATGACTAAAACTTTTGATTTTTAAATGGCACCCTCAGTATTTTTTTACTTTATTCGATAGAAAATAACACTCTGAATAGAATGAAATGTCATATGTCAACTTTTGACATTTTTGCATATGGTTTATTTGAAATTATAAGTGTGGTATCAAATTATTCGTAAAAAATGCTTTTTCCAAATATGCTAATAAGCCACCCTCGTTCCATTTGAAAAATTGAGATATGATTAAAAATACGATTTGGGCATTTTTAACCAGCCTGGAAAATATACTAAAAATATTAGACGATCAAATCTATTTTTCAAAGGCTCCTTGATTAAGAGAGAATTTGTGTTTTTAACATAGCCATCATGGCACTCTAGATTGAAATTTAAAATACAATTTTTATTAAGCGAGAATGTCAAAAGTTGACATATGATACAGAATTAGAATATTCAGAATATCATTTTCTATCGAATAAAGTAAAAAAAAATACCGAGGGTGCCATTTAAAAATCAAAATTGTAGTCATTTCCGGTGAAACAGGAAGTGACCAATTTATATCATATACTAACATCCGAACCCTCGTTTTTTTATCTGAAAAAATAAAAAGTTATAGGGGTGAGCCACTTTTGAGACGCACCCGGTATACACATTTCATAACTTTTCTTGCATTTATCAGATAACTATAATTTATTGATGACAAAATGCTATCGCCGAAATGTTTCCTGTTTTGATTTTGATATTATTTTTATAATTTTTAGTTTTAGTCGATTAGAACTAATGCCGCATATACAGGATGATAACTAAATCGTTATACAATAAAATTAGCCTACCATTTTAGAGAAAAATAAAAAAATATTGTTACGGATTCCGTGGGTCCTCTAATTTAAACTCACTATAAAACACTTAACGAATTTATTTTTTTAACACAATTTAACTAATTAAACGTAACACAAACAACTATATGAAAATCCTTCGCCAAATTGTCACAATTTGCTATTTCCATTTTCCATAACGCTATTCAAAAACTAAACTGTCGAGCGCGGAGTGCACCTTCTATATCGCTGCGAATCTTCTTACAAGTTCTATTCTGTCGAATTCGTTTGGCTTCTAGCAATTTCGATGTCTAGTTCGGCATTACAGAACTCGCTTCGTTCGTTCCCCGACAGATGTCACCATACAACTTGACAATATGAAAATATGTAATGTCTTCACTCTACATTTCAAACCAACTTGCCAATTTTTTAGCAGATCAGGCCTTATATATACCTTACTCTACGCATTACTTTGTTATAGGTATGTGCTTTGAAAAATCCACTACCACAAATGGACGACAATATAGGAAAACCACTAACGTTGGAGAAGAATAAAATCGGACTAAGTTACGACGACATGCTGAACGACGACTTTTCTTTTGACATGGACTCGCATGACGTCATGGTTTTTCTTCATATGCAAAAGACAGGTAGGATAGTTTTGGTGGAATACATTATCAGATTTCATTTTAATGCTTAAAGGTAGTCACATACAGATTTTTCTCAAGGCTAAACTGCGTAGTCGAGGCCTTGAGGATTTTCTTTAAATTCGGATGACCTACACGCGGACTGAGATTATACGTCAGTTTGGAAATTGTGACTCTCGCATATAGCAATGGCGTCTTACTGATGATGCTTTGGTGGTAATTGTTCAGCGTCAGTTGTATACAGGGTCGCTGATATGTATGGGAATGGTCGATTATTAGAAAAAATATAAGTTTAATTAACACTAGTGATGGGAAAAACCCCGAGTACTCGAGTTTCAAGCGATTGCAATAATCGAGCGATCGCTCGAGCGAAATATCGCTCGTATTTAAAAATAGGGTTTTTCGACCGTCGCGCGTCGCTTGTTGTAAGTACTCGTTAACGCCAAGCGCCAAGCAGTAAGTTGCGTGCGCAGGGCACATATTCTTTCGGTGATGAATGGCAAGTAGCGATTCGCTTGATCGCTTGATTTAGTTTAATTCAAGGCATTGTCGATGTAGGTCGTAAAATTTTGTCCCTCAGATACGCAACGGATAACGTCGTATAAATTTGCTACCTACAATGTATGTAGAAAATTCGCTCGGCTTTTTATCGAGTATGTCAGATTAAAATCTGATTTCAATTTATTTCATTCTAGGATCGCTTGCGTTCGTCGCTTGTAACTCGTCACTTGCATTGCTCGTTCATAATCGAGCGATGTCGGTTATTTTAATAATCGAGTACTCGAGCGAATTTTCGCTTGAGTTATCCCATCACTAATTACCACACTTATTTATACAGACTGGTGCTAGAAAGACTTCAAGTTTTTAGAATAAAGTAGTGCCTGAAAAAGCCCACTATGTTGGAGCGAAACGTCGCATAATAAAAAAAGAAGTTTTCCATCTTTCAATTTATTACAAAACCTCATACCCAAAAAAAGGAAAAAAAATATATGGGTAAAATATAAGACAAAAAGTTAAATATAAAAGTTATAGGGTTTTTAAATATCTATTAGTGAGTAATAAATTTAAGTATACAGGATCGGTCATAAAGTCGTGGCACATCAGTTTTATTTTTTTAAATGGAACCTCCTGTATATTATTGCTTATTTCGGTTCTTTCTTCAATTCTGAACAAGAATTGAGATACATACATACATTTCTGAGTTATTGACTTGTGAAAATATCACTTAAACAATTCGATTTAATTAATTTCGGTGATACTTAATAATATTTGACATTAGTTTTCAAGTTAGCATTTATAGATGTATAAAATGAGATTATATCAAATCTTCGTTTAACATTTCAAAATCAAAACTTCATAATTCGGAAATTGTTGAATTTAGGTACATTATGTGTATTACGATTATACACAAAATGGCATCGTTAAATGAAAAAAAAAACACATCGAAATTAATTAAATCGAATTGTTTAAGTGATATTTTCAAAAGTCAATAATCGGAAACGGTTGGTTTGAGGTACATTGTGTGTATCTCGATTTTTGCTTAGAATTGAAGGAAGAACCGAAATATGCAATAATATATAGGGAGTTCCATTTAAAAAAAAAATTTAATGTGCCACGACTTTATGACCGACCCTGTATACTTAAATTTATTACCCGCTAATAGATATTTAAAAACCCTATATAACTTTTATATTTAACTTTTTGCGGTACCTCATATATTTTACCTAATAATCGACCGTTCCCAATACATATCAGCGACCCTGTATATATGCACTGCATGATATACTGCAATCCGTCATTTCCTGAAATGCCTAGTCGTTTCATGTATTGCTGGCAAACAACGTAATTTTTCAATTGGTACATCGTTTGACTTCGCATCTCAGGCATTCCTTGTAATGACGGATTCTTTTCAGTGAAACGCCGCAATTAATTGAATCATTTCAGTTACCCTGTTTGCCAATAGTATTTAAATAAAAATAAAAAAAGGAATAAAAAATAAAAAAATTGGAATCTAGCAGAATTGAAGAAAAAAGAACTTTTTTGTTCTATGAATTGTTTGTTCTTTAATTGTTGTATGTTTGGTTATACTTCACTTACAAACCGGTTTTAATGATAATTAAAATATCATACGATCAAAAAAAAGGCGTCAAAGACGGCTGGGGAATGACAATCGATGATAATTTTGGCAGGTCAAGTCCTAGACGTCATTTATCTACTTGGCCCGTACTCTCTCTCTCTTATGTTTTTTAATGGCGCTTACTGCCAGTTGGCCTTAAGAAGGTTGTAATATCTTTTTATACCTGCCGGGTAAAATTTTTTTATACTAAAACAACTTACTTGAAAATATTTTCAACTGTTTTTAATTATATGGCGGCCATCTTGTTATATAAATGTCAAAATTTTGACATTTTATCTGAAATTTCGTGTTTGATATCAATTTAAAGGTTTTTGGAGTCGACAAATTTAGTGATGATATTAAAATTTTAATACGATACATCTACAACTAGATGCTACCCCAGACAACCCCTCAATTTTTTTCTTTTATACATCACTTCCCCAACACCCCCCTATGCACCAACCTTTATACTAAAATATAAACTTCTATTTATGATCATAATATTTTATTTCATCAAACGTATTAATAAAAACGACTTGAAAATTAAAAATAAGTTAACATTCTAAATAAAAATAATATTCTAATAAAATAAGTTAATACACTCTATTAATCGTTTTCAGAACAATGTCCTTCACATGCACACATCTGTGTACACCGAAGACCGTTTTTTACACATTTACATGCTGAACACCGTTGTTTGCAGCGATTAGTTCCTCACAGCTTTGGTAGAACACAATGTCTGAAATCTGTCGTTAGTTTTTTGCCATCCCCAATTATCAGGCAATGGAGCTTGAAAGTCTTTTTCCAAGCAGTTGTTCCATATAAGGGCTTGCAGACTGGCACCCTTGATATGTTGAATCAAAGCATTTTGTGTTGGAGGTATATTCTCAATTGTCCTATTTTTTATGAAAAGGAAACGTCTACACTCGTTAACAGTACTCAAGGGTGATGTCGCATCATATAATAGAACCACAAATCTTTCCATAGTACGCAAAATATCTTCATCTGGATCTCTTCCCATAAGCAGTTGTTCAAAAGCCGAATTAACATTAGGATCTGATATCCAAACCTTCCAAGCTGCTTTCTTTCCTACCACACAGAATGATGACACAGTATTGCAACCTGTTACAGAATGAAATATTGGTGGATATCTGCAAGTCTCATGTGAAAGCTGGGAACATAAGCCATGGATGCTAATTAATGTTTAGCATGCAGAAGAAGCCGACCGTCTGCTTCTTCATGGCACGATAGCAAAATATCTGAAAGATCCAATTCTGCTGAAGAAGATATTACTGATTCTTCGAGTGTACAAACTATTGTTTTTCCAATAAAAGTTTCGCTTGTTAGCTGTTTTGCTAAAAAGCTAAATAACTGCTGTTTGTTTTCATCTACTCGTAAAAATTCGTTATATTTTTTTGGAATTATTGTGGAAGGTGTAACTCGTATATGTTCCCCTATTTCTCTTAATTGGCGTGTGTCAGCTTTCAGTGAGTCACAGCTATACCTATCAAATACCATATCAATTCGTTGTAGATTTTGCAGCAGCCGCAAAATATAGGGTTTAAAAATATTGGTATAATATACACTCTGTAGGTACTAGACACTTAAAAATGGATCGACAAAATTCAAGATTTGTCAAAAGCAGGCTGGGTATTTTTTATAGATTCATCCAAATAAAATTTTAATACCATCACTAAATTTTTTGACCCCAAAAACCTATAAATTGATATCAAACTCGAAATTTCAGAAAAAAATGTTAACATTTTGACATTTATGTAACAAAATGGCCGCCATATAATTAAAAACAGTTGAAAATATTTTCAAATAAATTATTTTAGTATAGAAAATAAAATTAAAATGGATTTTTACAAAAAAAAAAGTATTTCTATGCCTAAGAGCCATTTTTTTGACCACCCCCCTCTTTAATGACGTCATACCAGTGGTGGGGGATCCCAACATTTTGGGGTCTGGAGCGTTTTTTGATGCTTGGTATATGTACTATCCATATCCAAAAATTCAAGTTCGCCGCCAGAACTGAAATATTTTTATGATTTTCAGAGCTATCCGACCCCACCATATTAAGATCGGCAAAAAAAGTTTTTTTTTAATTTCACTCAAAATGAGTTATTTGGGTCATAAATGACCTAAATACAAAATAATTTCATGGTGTCTGTCTGTCTGTCTGTCCGTCTGTCCGTCTGTAACACGATAACTCAAAAACCGCTGAACCGATTTTAACCAAATTTGGCACAAAAATACTGTGACACCCGAGAATCTGGCCATTAGTTTTTGGTGGGGGTGGGGGTGGGGGGTTGGTAAGGGGTATGGGAGGGGGTTAAAAATTTTAAAATATCGTAACTCCAAAATTACAGTAGCTAGCGAAACGCGGTTTTCAAATTAAGATTAGGAATAATATTTGCAACAAAATTTGTAACAACATCAAAATCAGTCAAAGTCGCAGTTTTCGAGATATTAACATATTTTTGTATGGGCGGTTATACGTGTCTCCCTGCACCAATTTTTTTAATTAGTTATATTTTTATTCTGATGAACTGTCTGATCTTCTTTTGTTTATTTTTATTTCACTTTCTGGCGGTTTCTGGTAAAACTTTATAAAAAGTCCTCCTACATTTAAAGTATTTTACTACCTCAAATAAGCCTGCAGGTATCGCACGCACTAAATAATTCTGTAAACACTGTACCGGGTGGCCAACTAAGAATGGACGCCGGCTGTATCTCAGAAACTACTTATCGTATAACTTCGGGAAAAAAATTCTAATTAGTAAATCGACCAAGAGAAATCGCTGGAAATTATTTTCAAGTTCGAAAAATGCCCGCTAGGGGGCGTTTTTCTAATAGCCAATCAGAAAACAGTTTTTTTCTCAAA